CCACTGGGGGCCACCACCATCAAGGTAATACAAACCACCGGCTTCATGCCCTCCACCAATCTTCCTCCCCGTCTTGAGATCCTGAAACACACAAGAAGAATGATAGAAGGTTACAGAACAATTAAGGGACTTGGTTAATCTGYTAACAGACATAAGRTTAAAAGGGAACTTAGGGACATATAAAACAGATGCTAAAGACAAGGAGGAGAGATCAACATCACCAACACCATAGATAGGAGATGTAGAACCATTAGAAAGTTTAACTGTTTGAGATGTGGAGGAGCGAGAAAAGGAAGAAAATACATTAAGAGTCCCAGACATATGGTCCGAGGCTCCGGAGTCAATGTTCCAGGGTGAACCTTTGGAAGCTAAGCATTTCATACCTGAATGGGCAAGTGTAGCTGTGTTCTGCTGAGATGTTTGAAAGAACTGCTCATATACTGCACGTGGTACACTCACCATTTCTTGCCCAGAAGCACAAGCAGATGTGGAGGGGGTTGGGTCAGTTTGCTGCCTTTCAGTAATTGTGCTATTACTCTTAGACGTAGCATGGTGAGCACAAGTGTTGGGTGGACCACGCAAATCATAGTAGAAATTAACTGTGTGCCCCTCTAAGCCACAATGTGTACACTTTCTCTGAGCATTACTCCTTCCTTTTCCACGGCCTCCCCCTGACTCTTGGCCTCCAGTCCGGCCACTAGCCCGGTTGAACATGTGTCCACCACGGTGAGGTCCACTGCTGCCACCACCACTTCTACTTCCACGACCACTCCCTTTAGTCACTACCAAACCAGATCTATCAGAGAAGGAAGAATGTTCTACCGGCTCAATGGATGTCCTCTTAAGATAGGCAAAAACTTCTTCAAGTGAGGGGAGAGCKGATCCCCCCAATATCTGTGCTCTGACAGACTCATACTCAGTCTTCGAGCCCACAAGAAACCTAGTCACATCAAGTTGTTCACGTTGCTGTTGTTGGATCTGGACATCTGATGTTAGAGGGTGATACACATTGAGCTCGTTGCGGATGTTCCTCAAACTTGCATARTACTCTTCTAAGCTTTGACTCCCTTGTTTCAAATTTAAGAACTCTTGGTACAACTGATATACCCTAGTTGTGTTGTCTTGTCCAGAGTACAACTTCTTAGCATGATCCCAGATTTCTTTGGCTGTATCTCGGAACATGAATTTCACACTAATCTTTGGTTCCATGTTGTTCCAAAGCCACGTCATTATTTGTGCATCTTCTTGTTCCTAGTCGCTGAACCTAGGGGAATTAGAGGGAGGTTTCTCCTCTCTCACATGTTTCACTTTCCTCTTGGCCTTCAAGAACACCTCCACGGATTTTGCCCATGGTACATAATTCTCACCATTCAACTTGATGGATGTCATTTGAACACTTAGATAATCTAGAGAAGGCATGATGCCTGTTTTGTTGTCATTCCCATCTGCAAATGAAGCCATCTTAAT